AATATTTAGTTCTTGTCAGACTACCAGGTTACTCAGGTAATATTTTTTTGATGGGTCTAAGCACTAGGCCTGAAGTTTGCAAACAGTCCGATCTGGTCTAGTAGGTTTTTTTGTGGCTTAGCTCATCATGTGAGCAACAAATCTGCTCAAATGATGAGCTAAGCTACAAAAAAACCTACCAGACCAGACTAGACTGTTTGCAAACTTTCAAATTAGATAAATAAATTCGGACTCGAACTAGTCTGCAAACTTCGAACCGAACCTAGACTGGACTCATAATTAAGTTTAAATCTGGTCTGAAGTTCAAAATTTGTAAAATTTAGAGTCTGAGTCTAGTTCGATCCCAGACCAGACCTGGACCAAACCTAGAAGCACTACTATATACCTTATTTTAATTAGTATTTGAACATATTATACAAAACCAGAATATAAATACTATTTTGATACTACATGTTTTAACTTTGGTCCTTATTAAAAAATTAACTAGAAAACCAAACCACTATATATCAGATTTGGATATAGCTCTTATATTAGATCTACAAATAATAATATATAACTGAATATATTATTAAATATATTTTTTGATCATGTAAACTAATAATAAAAATTAGCTATAATATATATTATATTATATATAACTTCATATACAAAATATATTATTTTAATAAATATTATAAAAACAAAATATATATTACTTGAGTAATAACTAAAAAGCAAATATTGTTATATTAGCATATATTATAATAGCTTTTAAATAGTAATACAAATATAATCTGTATAATATCTAAATTGTTAGAAGAAAGCAAATATTAAACTTATTAGAGATTAAAATAGATAATTATAAAATAAATAGATAATAGTATACCTATAAATAGATATTAGTATATCTATAAATAGATAACAAAATAATATAAATAAAATACAATATATATAAACAAGAGAAACTGTTAAATATTATACAAATATTTATATATTGTTATGTGGGGTCTTTGCCTTGAAAATAGGGTTTCGGAGTACTCCAACCAAAAATAAGATTTTTGTTAAATATTAATCTATGATATACAAAGCTTATTTTGTACAAATTTTATAATCTATTATCTTATTATAAAAATGTGTTATCAAAGTCCAGATCTTGTGACTAAATTTGGCAAAAAAATCTTTTGAAGATCTAAAAATAGATTGTAAAATGTTCGATATAGCAGATAAATATTTAATTGTCAAAACATATATCATTTTTGTACTACTAAAAATTTGCCTTGAAATGACCTTAAACGATACATTACACAAATTTAATAATTATCTAATTAGAAAAAATTCTGTTATCATGTGTACAACTTTTATGATTCACTGCAGACTCTTATATCTAATTGACTAGATATTTACATATGTTTTTAATATAGAAGTACTGCTTTTTGGAATATACTTCATATATTACCAGTGTATAAGAGAAATTTTTACTCTTAAATATCTCTGGGTACAAATCATAGTGGGTATATGAGTTAGTAGCTTACAGTATATAGTTTTGTGTTCTATATTATATATATATATTAACTTATATATACATTAATTGTTATAGCTAAAGCTAGAATTAGGGATCTCAAAATTTATTTATGCTCTTTTATTATAAAAACTAACCAATCTAACTATTAAAAATGCTTAAAAAAATACCTGAATAATTAAGATTACGAAATCATTTTAGCTGCTCAAAAATTTTTGGCAATTTTATATTAAAAAATATATATAATTTTCAGCTTAAGCTATGACATTAATTTATAAGTAAATTCTCAAGCAACTCTCCTCATCATTAAAATAATCTTTATAGTAATTTTATTTAGTAAAATAATATAAAATTTAGCTTATCAGGATAATTCTATAAAAAAAAATTATGATTTAAAAACAAATACAAAATATGATTAGTTTTTTGTCAGGTAATTTTTATTTTGTAATCTATTAATAAGTGAAGTTTAAGAACAGGCTAAATTAGTTCTATTGTATAGCTAATTTAGTTACAATACAAAGTACGTAATAATGTATAGAAGTAATATTTATATTGTTCAAGCAAGCTATAATCAGCGATCTCTATATTTATAACCTGATTTTTGATAAAGTTTTATTTCATGGGCTAAATATATCTGGTTTGTAGGTGAACTTTTAACTAGCATAAACTTGTAATGTTATAGATATACATATAGAATATACGTATGTTAGAAATATGTATTATACATTATTCATCATATGATTTTATGGACATGCATATCTGTAAAGTCATATAATATAACGAATAGTAGATACCAAAGAATTATCAATTGTAATTATAATGAGCAATACAAATACTATATATTAGTATGCATAGATTCTTGTATTTCTATCTCTACAAAGCCTAATTATTAAAAATCATGAGATAACATAGTAGCAGAACCTAATTGTCAAATATGAGGTCCTTTCACTATCTACAAAAGCTATAAAGCTTATTAAACAAGTGCTAATATATCTTGTTCAATAGTAATATGTAGCATTTATATATGCCAAATTAGAACTAGTAGAATACAGGATTGCATAACAAATAATGTATGTATACTATATTATATTGTATTATATAATACAAAGCCAAACAAAAACTTGTATCCATGCATCTCTAACATACGTAATTCTTGCACGATAAATTCATGTTACCTATTTTTTTTTAAAAAAATGTCTCAACCACCAACTATTAATGATTTCAAGCCCATCTATAATTTAATTAAATTAGAATTAGAAAATTATGAAGAAAATGAGCTAGTTTTAAACACAATTCATGATTTAAAGTATTTTTTCAAAATTCTGATAATTGTACTTGCCGTCGTACTTCAAAACAAAAAGACCTTAGAACTTGTTTTGAAAAAGTAGGGTTTAAATATTTTTTTGAAAGACATTTTGAATTAAAAGCTTTAGAAGAATGTGAATCATTTGAAATTAGTGATAAAAAATTAAAAAATAAAACACAAAAACATATACATAGATATAATTATAATAATTATTTACCTCTTTGTAAATCTACATATTTAAAATTATATAGAATAAATGATTATTTATTTTCAACATTGCAAAATCATTTACAATTAAATAGATTAATAGAACGTGTT